GGGAGTCTTGTTCATAAATGTGGAGGTCTAAGACTAAGCTGAAACATTACATTTTAGCTGCCATGTGCTTATCTGCAGTTTGTGCTCACTCTTCTGCACTTCTAATTAATAATTTTTCTTTTAGTTCCAAGGTAGGAAAATAAGACTAAATGATCTCTCCTTTTTTTTTCAGGTGTAAATTTCTTGTGATACCTCAAAATCTATTTCATATGGAAAGTGGCACCTGTTTTGGAACAGTATAAAGAAAGGTCTTGGTATAATTTTATTGTGTTTCTTACAAATTCATTGCATCAAATTAAGTCATTGTGCTTAACAGGCTAATGGCACAAGGCAGCGAGGGCACACAAGCCAACCAGGCACAGGATCATTTGATTGAGGCAAGTAATTAGTTATTCATTTCACATGTTCTGGTATGATAATTGTTGCCACTGCATTATGGTGGTGAGTGACAGACCAAGGCCTTATTAAACCAGTTGTTGGATACACACTTTAGCTGAAAAAGTGGACCAAGGAGTATGTCCCACTGAATGCAGCTGACTGCAGCAGAGGTGGTATTTTGCATTTAACGCAATTCAGCTTCTGAATATATTGGGAACATGGATTTGAAAATTCTCTGTACTTTATAGAGGAAGTGTGAGAAACTGTAAATGTTTACAGCACTGCTTTTACTGTATAGTCAAAGGCATGCAAATGTTAAAGAAGAAACTATATCTGTACCAACATGTGCTGCAAAACCCCAACAGATAACAGTCACCTGCGTAATTTGATGAAGGTACTTTGTCATTTCAGTCAAATAACATTTAAGTTACATAATGGGGTGAACTGGAAACCTAATTTCTGTTCTGATGCTTTATGTTGTTCCTTGTAGAGTCTGACTACCTGCTTCAGACCTTTGCCGCTGCTGGCTATTGAACAATTCAGTTGTCACTACTGAAGCCATTTGCAAAGCTGAGTACTGCTCTGCTTGAGAGACAGTGAATCTGATGCCGTAAGAGTGTGACTTAAATGTACAGCCTTAGCAAGGTGCTTTATTTTTCCATGGGCATATGTCTAATAACTCTTTATTAGATCTGCAGGTGAAATGAAACAAAATTATCACACACTTTCTTTTAAAACACTGACAGCATAGCACTGCTACAATAGTGTTTTCTTTCAAAGTGCTTTCTTTATTAATTTAATTTTAATTAGGCAAATATCAGCTAAACTAGAAAAAGAAACCATTTTTACTCGCCAAATCAACAATAACCCATTAGTAACTGCCATTAACAGTAGGAATTTCATTGCAAAAGTCAACAGACATCCCATACAGTTGCATAAACTCTCCTTGTGGGAAGCTGCTTAATTTCACTCTGAAAAATTACTTTGCTTCTTATCACCATGGTTTACTTAGTATATCAGAAGGAATGTGAAGATTCATTAAAAATTTTAAAGTACATCTCACTGTTAAAAGTCATGCATTAAACCGGATTAGTTGCTTAATACAAAAAGAATGTAGATTAATTCCAGTAAAAGCACTAGCCGAATGCCACAGTGAATTGCAACAGCTTCTGGCAGGACAGGAATATTGCCGCTAAGAACACATGCACGTTCTTATTTCTTTGGTAGATTCTTCCGTAGCCTTTGTTTGGATGTATTGCTTTTGATGGGCATACTGTGCTCCAGATTTGCTTTGGTTGTCTGGAATTAGCCTCTCACCACTCTGCCTTTCAGCGGTTGGGGTTGCCGGTGATTGCTCAGTATGGGACAAGGTGCTTCTCCTTCGGCAGAAGACAGGATTGTGCGGAACTGAGCCAGCTAAATGGGGCGAGGATGGAAGGGATATATTTAGCTTTTCGCTTTTATATTGCACGTCAGTGAGAAATTGTTGTACTTCCCAACTAACTTTCTATTTTTAAAAAAATTTAAGCTTCATAATATTGAATTAATCCAGCGGCGAATCAGGATTTATGCTGCCACAGAAGTACTGAAACGGACAACCATCTTTGAATATCCTATTCATCCCTATATCCAATTGTCACAGAAACTTTCAGACACTGGTACCACTGTATTGTCACCTATGAAAAAAACCTGGGGTTTGATAAATTAAAAATATCACCAATTGTGAAAGTAAAAAATAATGCCTTAGAACTAATATAACTTTGCTTTAAACATTGATTTTTATGACAAACTATTTGTAATTAATTTCTGTCCCATATCCATTGACTAGCCCAATTAATAACACCTTGAATAAATATTAAGGATCTCCATAATACCCAACTTATTTCTATATGCATGCTTTTATTTTTCAAAGATTCAAAGTACTTAGCTAGACTTATCTGGAAAGTTATTAAATCAAACACCTTTGGAAGGACAAGTGGCAATAATTTAACTGCATAAGACAGTTTCATAAGAGTTTATCACAGGAAGAATACGTGTCTCGATAAGGCCAGTGAGGGATATTTAGCTTGTTCTACAGACATTACTAGGAAATAATGCAATAATAAAGCAATTGGTATAGCTCCGAACCACTCTAGGATAGCACTGAATGGAGAACTATACTCTGGGTAGTTAATTTTGAGGCATGTGACAAAACTCCCTGCTCAGGCAGGTTTTTGGCTGAGATTTTATGAGAATATACATGTATTTTAGGCAGCCTTGTAGGAATGAAGATGGGAAGAAGTCAGCTTGCTGCCTGGCTTTTGCTTTGGGAAACACAGCACAGCAAGGATGTTTAAAGAAGCGAATCGCCTTTCCTGGAGCAATGGAAGCAACTCCACCAATCTGAAGTCATCTTATCTCAGTTCCCACAAGACTTCGTAAGATGTGAGTAGCCTTACCCAGCTGATGAAGAATCATAAGCGTTTATTAAGAGCAATAACATGGTGTAAAGGTACTACTCATTTTACATTAAAAATGAGGCAAATAAACCTAATAAAATGCAGCAATACAATGTAAAGCGATAATGTCCCTGAAACTAAAAGACAAGAAGGGTCTTGTTCCTTGTAATACTGTACCTGCTCTGAGCTGATAGTAATTGGCTCTTTAAGGATAATCCAGATGACACTCTCATGGAGGGGAGGATGAGTCAGAGAGCCATTGTAGGTCCAGTAATCCAAGGATTTTGGCAATAGGCTTGAAGGATCAAAATCAGAAAAGGGAGCTTGCTTACCCTGTGGAAGATTCGCTGAGTTAATGAAACCCATGAATAAGATAGGATTAACATCTCAGGCTACAAGGGAGTGTGTTCGTAAATCAGAGGAGGTCCTTTCAAAACCCTAGTGTTTTCTCATGGCATCAGAGGTGAGTTGCTTGCCCTGATGATAAGTTTGACACTGAGATACACTTAGGCTGGCACAACTGACAATGAGCAGTGTTACTCAAAAAAAAAACTAAGAAAAACCAACTTACACACACACACACAATGTTATCAGATACCAAAGAGTTAAGTCATCACTGACTAAAGGGTTTTGTTTGGTTTTTTTTTTCGAGTTAAGTCATCACTGACTAAAGGGTTGTGTTTGGTTTTTTTTTTTCCCAAGACTGAACTCTGTGCTCCTGAGCAAACAAAACACTTCAGTGTACAATTAATTTTCAGCTGTCTGCTGAGGCTAAAGGGGGGATTCACACATGTTGATAATGTTTGCATGTTCGGGGTCAAATTCTTCATTCTTTTTTAAAATCCTGTGGGAGACGCTGTATTGTATTTTTAACATGCTTCACTAAAATTCAAATATTCAGGTTCTATCTCTGCTTATCTTGTGCCTTAATGAGAGGCTTAGTGTGAATAGTCACTGCTTTACAAGACAGCTTAAGAGTGCAGTTCTGGTGTTATTTCTTCTCCCTTTCTTTTCCTCCTTCAACTGAGTGAAAATTGAGTTCAGTTATTGTAAGTCTGTGCTGGTGATGGATCCCAGGGATAATTTTACATAGATAGACAGATGGATGGAAGCATGGGATTAGGTAGGAATCAGGAACTGTGTATTCTTACTCTTACACAAAGAGCCCATTGCTGTCTACAGGGTGGAGCTCCAACAACACTAAATATCTTACTGGGATCCCATAAACTCATGTCCAGGTTCATGCTTTCACCTCCCACATGTCAATAGCTTCCTTCAGCTGAACCCCTGCGTTATTCTGAAATCTTCAAAAAAGCAGATTTTAATTTGCTTTAATTTAAAAAAATTACTTTAAATTTAATTTAAATCTAATTTAATTTAAAAGTGTAGATTTTAATTTAACTACTCTGTATATTATCATGATCAGGCTGTGGTAATGTTTACCTTAGACTTTACTGAATCCAAGGCCTTCAAGACGCCTTTCAGGTTTTCATTGCATAAGCCAAGCTGTAAATAAAAAAAAATACTTAAAACTTCTAAATATGTAACAATAGTTTTATTCTAACAGAATCAGGAATAAGAATATGCTTTATACATGTTGATTAGTTTAGCTTTGCAAACCCACTATGAATGAGACAAAATTTAGAACTTTTGAGGAAATAACGGGAAGTTTTGCTTCTCCTTTGCAGAGTAATGCAAACAGTAGTGTGAAAATAATCTGTGGTTGAGAAGTATATGATTGCTTTGATCATACATGTTTGTCCTTGAAATTCACTTTGAAGGCATTCAGAGATGTGGTTTTGCTGATATCTTTTTTGCAATGTGAACTATGAATATTTATATTTTAGCAGTATATAATAATATATAGTATTATTTTATGATACTTCCTTAATATAAAAAAGTCCTTAATAATAAGGAACTCTTTTTCCTGCCTCAATTGGTTTTGAAAGGCTAAATATGTCATGTGCATGGATTCAAGATTTCTTGGAGTTCTGATTTAGAATTTTCTTGTCTCATTGATAGTAATAGCACACGTGACTCAAACCCTCTTTCTGTGAAAGCTCACATCACTGTAAATGGAGTGGAAAGCAAACACAAAAGGTGCGCACATTGCGTGTTACAAAGGTGGACGAAACACCACAAGCTCACTGGCACCCATGCTTTTAAAGCACAGCTTTTCTTGAAGACTCTGAGGATGAAATGGGGATTTGGGTGAAATTCATGTAGTAGCATAGGCAAAGTTGGCAATATGGGCTAAATCAGGATAAGAGACAGTCACCTCCACTGATTTAACACAAAGACGTGTTTTTTTCTAGTCCTCATCACTGACTGCAGTTTTGATAAGGAAAGGGAAGAGAGACGCATGTGTTTTCAGTATGTCAGTAACTGACCTTCAGGAAAACAGTGACAATTGCCAAGCCATCCGGCTTGTCAGAAGCCTCAGCTACATTCGAGTACTTGTCCGCGTTCCAGTGAACGAGATGAAGCTAAAAAGCAATTGACAGGATAATTTTTGCTGGTTCTACTACAAATAAATGCTGCAATTCAAGTAAAACCATTAGAAATGCCACTCTGCTCTCTTAGGCTCTGACTGTGAAACTGCGAACGTGCTTGTGAGCGCCTGCAGATTTACAGTGTTCTGCTGAATTGCCCCGGCATTGTCAGGACTCGTACCCGGGCTTTATCTTGGGGTAGGCAGAACTGCACATATTCCTGAAAGCAATTCACGGGTAAGTACACAGAGATGTGGAAAATTACAACTTATGAGGGACATATATTTTTCTAACTCTGTTGCTAACAGCCTCCTGTGCATGCCTTTATTTCCATGTCTTTAAAAGTGTAATACATGAAATAGCATTTTGAGGAGTGTAACCACTTTGTTACACATGGTGCAATATTTATTCACAATAGTCCCATTTACTGCAGAAGATTGATGGCATGACCACAAATGTCATGGCTGTGGACAGTTTATATCCAACATAGTTCTTTCAACAAATATTTGACAGTACTTGCTTTAATATAGTTTTAAGGGACTTTTGTTCAGCCTAGTATGTTGCACATTATATTGAGCTATTTTTTATGAAATATAAATTTCTAAAACTTACATACTTGGAAATCATAAAAATTTATTTGAATGCCTTCTCACCTATGAATATGCTTAGCAATTCCTTAGCAACTATGTAACTCTATGGCAATAGTCTAGTCCTGGATTATTTGTATAACATTTCAGCAACATGGCCACAAAAAGTATCAAAACTTCTTAAAATACAAGGAGGGGATTCTAAAATACAGAAACAGAACATAGAAATTATGATATAACGCTCATAATCTTAAAATTCTGATTTAAATCAGATTTTTATTTTTTTCTGGTATTTTTTAAAGCTGAATTACTGTCTTTTCAACTTAACATCTGTACTGTCTCAACATATTTTAAACTATTGATTCAAAGCAAACTAATAAACACTTAATCATGGGCTGCTTAAACACAGCTTAAGTGCACTATCTCTTTACAGCAGAAAGCAATTCTAAAGGGACACCCCTTTCTTATCTTGGCTGTATCAAATGAGATAGCTTTAGCACTCTCAACAGCGGAAAATTTCCTATTAGGAACACACTTCTGGCTGTGTGCTCCTAATGCCTATATTAAAAATGAATAATCCATCTCATTAGTTTGTCATGTAATGTTCCTAAAATGTAAAAAGCTGCCAAAGATAACATTACATGGATTGAACATGAATTGTTTGATGGCATGTTGATGATGTTGACTATTAGCAGGACACTAAGTCACTGGAAAACAAATAAAATCTGCCACTTTCAATGTGATTTTTAATTTTTGTAAAACAGACCTTGCTTCATTATCTGAAGACATTTAATGTATGTGACAGCTGCTGGGGCCCTTAGTAGATAACTTCCCTTCATTAATTTCTTCTGTGTTTCCTTCTTATTTGATGTTCTTGAAAAGCCAGAAAAAAACACCTTACAGTGATCAGCACGCTTGTACCTGTGAGGAGCTCCAGCTACAACGATAGTGGGACACTGGTGATCAGGCACTTTAAAAAGCAGCTGATTTAGTCTCAAGCAGAATATACTTGTACAGCTGACCTTTTTAACATTTAGCAGATGTTACTTACTTTTTTACCTGCACCTTTCAGCCCTATTTCATTATTTAGATATGGATTTCGATTATCTAAGTTTAGGTTAATAAGTGCTGACCATAAAACCCAATTTGCTCTTGCAAAGTCAACTCGGCACACACAGAGATGGCATTGCTTTTGCAAAATGAAATAACTACCAAAGCGACCTATATATGCTTTTTCTTTTTCCCTAGGGATGATGTATGTGACCGGACTTTGAAACCTTGACTTTGACTTTCCTTTCATTGACTCTACCTCTGAGGCGTATTGCCTTCCATCCACCGTGTGCTCTGAGCCTTGCTCATTGGTTTGACCCCAATGGAAATGAAATTGCCGCAATCTGTATGTCCCCGTGAGAGGTCCGCCAGTCAGCACTGCAAATGCATCAAGTATGGTAAAAACATCAATCAATAAATTCTTCCTAACAGGCAAGTTATAGATTTCAAAGATTTTATAACATGCAAGCAGTTTCCTCCATGTTAACATTTTTAACATGTTAACATGTTTTGAGGTTAGATCTGGAGATAAAACATCTGGAGATAAAAACCCCAACAGCTTGTGCAGTTAAGACAAAGTTATTGAAAGTTTAATTCTAGGTATGTATAAGAGTGCATTGGTTACAGTAAAACTTCATGTCTCCTTGATACAGTTCCAAAATTCAGGTGAAATATATGTGAATACACCTTCTATTCCAGAGAGAAAAAAAAAAAAAAAGAAAAATAACGCAGAAAACCAGCAGTTTGACAGAAACAGCAACTGGATTTTAGTAAGTGCAGAACAAACTGTCCTACTTCATGGAATTAACTTCTCGCTAAAATTTGTATTGTTTATGACAGTATTTTAAAGGTCTCTCTCTTCCCAGAAGATATAGATACTTGATGTTACTATAAGTATAATGAGACTTGATGATACTTGAAGAAGTTATAGATACTTGATGTTTTCTGAATTTAGACTATGAGATTCCAAAAGTGTACTCGGATGTTATTGACACTGTTTATTGGTCATTATCATTAATTCCTTGCTTACAAGCACATAAATGTCTGTTGATTACCACTGTAGTGATAGGCACCTGTAATTGTGCATGATGCTTAGAAATACGTGCCTGGAGTTCTTGAAGCACTTGCAATATTATACATCAGCACAAAGAAATCTCCTTTGCTATCACGGTAATAAGACTCTCTGAGGAAAAAACCTAGTCCAGAGTGATTCCATATAGACTTATACCATGAATAACTTTTACATCTGTATAAAACTCCCACCCTGTGTTGATTAAAATAAAACCACAATTGAGTAACTGTGTTTAGAAACTCTCCTCCTAGTTTCCCCTCCCCAACTCAGTTATTATCCTGGAGGTTTCCTACTGGGAAATTACCAGTCTTTTTGCCATTAACAGAAGAACACTTGCCAAGTCTTCTTCTAAAGAACATAATTTGGATCTTCTGTGACACTTAAAGGGTGTTGCCAACTAGTACAACAAAATTAACAAGCATACCCTAATCTACATAAATACTCCTGAAAGGCAACTGGTCTTGTTTTCTAAATAAATTAGAGAAAAAGAGAATGGAAATGAAAAGGTCTCACATCCCTTCCCCAGATCCCCCTTTTACTAACCTGATTGATTGTCCTTATCGTCAAAATTCACGTGGAATGAATGTCCAACATTGACGATCTCTTTGCATGTGGAAGGTTTCCAAGTGATCCGGAGAGGCCCCAGAGATGCATCTTTTTTGGCTTCCTTGGTTTGAATATCAATAGGAGATTGATGGTCTCCATTGGCAATAGGGTATAATTTGTGCCAGTGGTCAGGTCCTAGACAAAATAAATAAATAATTGAAATGTTCTACTTCTAATTCTGTACCAGTACTGAATTCCTGACACTTTCCCTTGGAACCAATTGTAGACATAATACAGATATTTGATATGTTAATAATCCATGTAATTTTGAAGAATTTTTATAAGGAAAAGAAAGCAATAATAGATATATTATAAATAAATCTGATTTTCTATTAGAGATTGTTTTTACCATTGTTGCCTTGATAACTCCAGTTCAAACTTGCCATTTTTTTTGTCCTTGCAAGGTACTGTCTTCTTTAAAAAGAATCTACAGGTGCTGATGAAAACTGTTAAGACGAGATCTCTGCTTGTCTTACACCTGGGCTTTTATATGCCTGCTTAAACAGTAAAGACAGTAATATTTTCTAACCAACCTTTATTGATTTCATATGATTTCAGAATGGCATGAGAAACTGCGATAAGAGAAAGGATTGTAATAAGGAAATAGTGTGGTTTGCAATCTGTTTACCTTTTGATTCAGGACATATAGTAAGAAAGATATGAGTTAGATGCCAAATTAAAATATACATCATTCCAAACGTTCAAATGTTGTCCAAAGACCTTTACACTAAATCTTCACAATCCAAAGGATAATTATCGTACAAAATTGCAGACTACACAGAAAGCAATGGCTGTTCAGCCTTTCTGAAAATCCACGTCAATGATTTAAGACTTCTATGTGTGGATTTTAGAACACCAGTTTTGACAATCACTAAAAAATAGTCAATCTCAGTAACTCAGTAGAAAAGAAGTAATAACATCAGTGTGCGAAAAAATGGTTAATATATTTTTAAATATTACATTAATATGACTAACAATGCTCTCATTAATAAAAGAGGAGGTCCAAAGCCTACTAAGCCCTACCAGCTTCAGGTGTTTTGGGAATGATCTCAAGCCATTTTTGTACTGCTGGGAATCTTCAAGGCAATCTTCCTGGGGACTGATACCTGATTAAGTGCATGATTGAAGTCCAACTTCCAAATTTTTCTCCTGAAGGAGGTTCTATCTTGTAGTTCAAGAATATTTACACACAATCACCTATTTGTTCAGTAACAGGATACCATGCCCTGACTCTCTGTTTTAAAGCTAAGTTCTACTAATACATATGGGATTTTGCCTGGATTAAGCTCTGTCTCATACATGCTTAAAAGCAGGATTGTATTTTTAGGACCATATGCTCGACAAGTACTGCAGTGTAGTTAAATAGTTGTGGTATTATCTATATTTGTAACCATTTGAAATGAGTGTATGGAGTAATTATTTCTATATAAAAGAAGGTTTATCATAGACTATGTAAGCATTGCCTTGTCATCCTGCGTTGCAAAAATGGAACCTGTTGACATTTTCCTGTTTTTCTTACAGAGTATTCTCAGTAATAAGAAACTACTGATATCTGCCTTTGCAGATGTCCACAGCTGACGTCAGGAATTTCAGATACCATTGTGCAAGTAATGTTATAACCTGTAAAACTTGTGGCATTGGTGCCTAGGAATATGACAGCTTTTAGGTGCGTCCCAGTTATAGGTGCATTGCAGTTTTATGTTATTTTTTTGTTGTTGTTCAGAAATGGTTTTATTAGAATGGAGAATGTTCAAAGGAAAATTGCCACCACAAAATTGTGCTGAAAGACAGGCAGCTTCACCTGCTTAGTCCCTGACCAACTTCCTAGTCAGATTACTAAAATGATATCAGTGTTTCATTACATCATGAAATTTCTGGGTGCACAATTTACGGTCCTTGGGCAACCTTGCTATGTAACCTATGTGAGAAATGAAGACAGCCAAGCTAATAGATCAACTGGAAATATTAGGTATGCTGGACCTGGCCAGTTATTAACTTGTGGTTGGCCAGCAGGGAGTCTGAAGACCTCAGTAACCAGGCTTGTGTCAAGCCTTCGGCACCCTGTTGGGGCAAGGGGAACTGGGAGGCCTGTCTTGACTGCTATGGTCTGGAATGGCTGTGATAAATTACTGCCATGTTTAGCGCTGAAAGAGTGGTGTTGGTGACTAATTTTTGAGGCTTTGGAAACCAAACCTGGCTCCAGACACTAAAAAGATTCAACCCACCGATCTGGAGAACGAAGTCATAAGGCAGGCAGCTCAGGAGCCCTGAAAAACCCACTTTCATCCCAGGCACTCAGGACTTGCAGCATCTCTCCTGCTGCAGGAGAAGATTTAGGGTTTGAGTCCAAGTTACAGGGTAATTAATGACATGGAACTGGCCCAGCTTCCTGCCTGTCCCCTAGGACTGTTAAGAGTCCTGGAGGGACAGATAAGCCTGGTACATTGGGGCAAAGGTGTACATGGCTCAAGAGTTTTTCATTTTAAGAATCAGAACTCTTTTGAATGTATATGTGGAAGGATTTAGCAGCCATCAGTAAAATTTGTAAATTCTTGAAAGAACTGTTTTGAAACAGAATGAGTTTCTTGCAGAACAGCAATCCTGACTCTTGACCAGAGCTGATGTCAATTATCACCGTTCCTTTGGAATAATGCAGGAATAATTCCTTCAATCCTATGAGAACCACAGCACCAAATCGACTGCAGTTGTTCGCACTCACAGCAGGGTGAAAGAGACAGAGACTCCTTGAATCCTTGTCTGCTATCAGTCATCTGTAGACAGTGTTGGTCATTGTGAGTTAGTTACATACATAATATCAAAGACCTTCTGTCAGCGGTCAAGATCTATCAGCTGGACTGCTGAAAAAAACGAGTGACCAGCTATACAGGACTCATTCAGAGAGACTGAAATTGTGTTTGTGGTTTGAGCGAAACAGATGGTGTGTTGCAGCATGATATGGAGACAAGATAATATAAAGAAATTCAGTGACAAAGAATATGGAAGTGTGGGACAAGATCATTTGAATTTTCTAACAAAGAAAGGAATGAAGTTTTAGAAATAATAGCCAAAGGAAATATAAATCTTGTCTTGTTAGACAGACGCAATGGGAACATAATGTGGAAAAATTGCCATAGTATCTCTTCCTTGATCAGATAATCAATGTCAATTTTCTGACTATGAAAAATATTCTTTCTGCGCGAGGTGAGCATGGCAGAGATTCAGTAAAATGATCTCTTGGAAGAGGAGCCAAGATTTCAGAATTGTGACCTTTTTACTGTCTCATCAGCCAGGCTCTAAAGTAATTCTAGACCTTCGATTTAAATGCAGTGGACTGTGTGTGACTGACACAACAACTGGTTTGCTTCTTGAAACCCAACACAAGTGGCTTATGATTCCTCCCGTTACACCCTTTTATACCTCCCTAAGTGCACTTCAGCTTTTAACTGTCACTGTTGCTAAAATATTTAATTACTAGTGTTTTTTCATTAGTCTAAGCTGCTGGTTCTTAGAACTTTAAACTAAAACCTGTCTAAAACATTATTTTTTTTTTCTGCATGAATGTAGAGGATAAGTTAATGTTATGAAGGAGCTCCTGAGTTCACAAAAAGCTTATGAACCAAGATTCAAAGGAAAAGAATCCAGTATTTCTTTAAACAGGTTTGCCACTTTTTTTAATTCCTGAAGTTAAAATGTGGCTACAATCAGCCTTTCTCCAGATGACAAAGAAATTAAATTTGACTTTGAGCAAAGTCCCAGGAACTAAGATGATGCAACTTAGGAAGGATGGCTGATATCTTACTGCTTGTTGCACAGCACTTGTTATTTTGGCAACTTCTTTCAGTTCCCGCTTCTACCTGACAAAAACCATTTCAAGGCTTTTTACAACTTCGTGCTAGGAGGGAAGACTTCTGAATTCAAAGAGCACTGATTTTTTTTTCCAAAATAAAAGCTTTTTACAAATTGCAATAGGGATTGAAGTTAATTTTCTACAAATGTAAGTTAAAGTAATATGATTTAAAGCATTTTATAATAATTTTTGTGGCTCTTACGCATTCCTCCAGAGTACTTGTAGTCCAGACATTGTCACATTATACTAATGCATTAGAACTATGGGAATAAATCGCTGAGACAGCAACCACAAAAAATGTCCCAGCAGTACAAGACATAAGAAGGCTGAGGATCGTGGATGATAATAAGCTTCTTAAAACACAAGCCTGTATTCCATCAACCGCTGATTATTGCCTACACATTTTAGCCTCTCCACACTCTGCAGGGAAAGTGTTAGCACCTTTCCAGGAAACTGGGATTAAAGAAATGTGATATCCTCGGCAAAATCTTCACAGTATAAATAGAAGTGGATCCCTGGCTTTCCAGATGAGTGTGGACAAAGTTTTAATCTCTAAAGCTCTGAACTTGCAAGCCACTATAGCCGTGTCTAACTTTATGCATAGCAGGACACCTATTGACCTTTTCTGCAAATATGAAATTAAAAATGAACATAGTATAGGAATGAATGTAAAATAGTCTTATTTTAAGGACACTGGCCAGAAAAAAACAGAAAACTTTTCTAAAAAATATAAAATTACAAAAGCGTTCAAAGGATTTTTTTTGTTTTTTAAGTGCCAAATAATACGTATCTTGATAGTGAATTGATTTGTGAAAAGAAGAAGTTTCAAACATATTTCACTAGCTTTCGTAATGATCCTTTTTAGTCAGTGTCTACAGAGAATCAAGACACTGTTATTTGTAATGCTCTGGTCAAAATTAAATAAGCTGTATTAGATGATCTTCCCTTATAGCCATTGTAAGTGAACTAATGGGAGGAAAGTTGCAAAGTTATGAAAGTTTTGGAGTGAAGTGGAAGGCAGGCACTCCCAAGCCATCAGGCATCGCTTGATCTGTGGAAGCTCAGCACGTTTGTGCGAAGTACTGCATAGGGTGCAACAGTAGGATCGTCTTAAAAATAAAATAAGTCATAGTAAATAGTGACCTGTGGCATAAAGATGGGAGATAATAGGACCCCAATGGTTGTGAAAGAGCTATTGTCTCATATTACCTGGTGCCTGCTTCCTGCACTGGGCTTTGCTAATGGGAGAGATACAGCTCTGTTTGTCTATGCACGGCTGGTTATTGTGGATAGGATCAAACCTGGCCCCTCTTCGTGAGGTGAAAAGTGCCAGCTTAACTGGGGAGTTTTATCTGCTATGGACTACAGCTTTAGGCTTTTAATACTAACTGAGCATTTAATTTCAAGTGATGAAAGATAATACATCTCTATTTTTATTTGCACACAGACCTATAAAATATAAAAGTATCCGTCCTGTAACTCCTTGTCCCAGTTATGAGAACAGCCAAAGTCTGAAGCAAGGAAAAAAGGTTGTGTTCA